CTGAAGAGTAGGAGGAGTGGTGGCGGGGAGAGGGAGGGTGGTGGATTTTGATGGTGGGGAGTTGGGGGTCGGAGGGGTCAAGTGGAGATTGTTGGTGGTTCTGAGAATGCATTTGTGGTGATGATATTTGATTCTCTTTCTGGGTTTTCGGTTTTTTCGATCAAAGTTAGAGAGAGAGAGAGGTTTTGGGAAGTGGAGTGTGGAAGAGAGAATAACAGAAAGCAACAAAAAAAACAAGGAGAAATGCTGAGAGTGGCACCTTTTTTTTTTTTGGGAAGGAGTTGGAGACACGGTGGAGGAGGGTTCTAGGGGAGTTGTCGTGTTGTCCATGCAAAGAAGCAAAAGCCTCTTAGTGGGCTGGATTTTGTGTTGGGTTCTGTTGAGTTGTGGGCCTATATTTGTCGTAAGTTGGGGAGTAAATTGACAAAGAAAAGGGGAGGGAAGACAAATACATGTATCGTTAAATCCCCTGATTAATATTTTTTAGTTAAATTTATATTAGTTAAAAATATATTAATCAATAATAAAATGTATAAATTCAACTGATAGTTCAAGAATAAGGGCATAAATTTAGACTCATACACTACTATAAAGATAAATTAAGCAATTTAATGAGAGAAAATTAGACATCTATCTTCATTGTCATGATAATCATCTTAATCGTCTCGATCTGTCGCCAATTGAAGTTTGAAAGCTAGTTGTTTATGTGGAAAGTTTATTTAGGACTAGAGGAGTGTGGTTTACTTTAATTATTTGATCTGCTATGTTTTTATGGAATTTACTTCTTTAAAACTATAAGAAAATTGCTAAACTTACTATTAAAATTGTATGGATATGGATTTTTACTCTTCACTTTTGATTAGTATCCTTTTTTAATATATTTATTTGATTAAAAATGATATTAATTAAGAGTAAGTGATAAAAATCAAGGCTCATGCACTTTTAAGGAGGTATTTGTCAAGATTTCTCAATATTGGTTTACTTAAATTAGACCACTGGTTTACTAAAAAGTAGATCCGTGGGTTACTTCAATGCTTTAATATGTGCTGTGTGGAGAAGCTTTCTTTTTCTCTCTTTAAAACACTGTGCACTCAAAACTGTACCGGTTGTTTACTAAGGGAAATAGATTAAAGTAAGGGTAATGTGAACTTAGCACTTGCAAGTGGTTTTCATCAAAGACAAAGACTAAATGAAAAGTGATGAAAATCAATAGCCTTAGAAACCTGGGTCTTTTATGGTGTTGGGATGCTTTTTTCTGATATTGTGTCGGGAGATACAATAATTTATGAAATTTTATGTTAGAACATGTAAACTCTAATAATAAAGTTGTAAAAGTTACAATAGACTTAAAAATTTTGAAGGAATATGATAACTTGTAAATTTTATGTTAAAATATGCAAACTCGAACAATTCATCATATTCTTTTAAAATTCACAAGCTAATCGTAATTTTTACAAATTTATCGTTCGAGTTTATAAAATTTCACAAATTATCGTATCTCCAGCACGGTACCAGAAAAAAGCATCTTGAACCATAAAAATTCCTACTTCTAAAGTGATAGGTATCCTAATTCTCTTACTGTACATTAATTTTTGAACAATTTTAAATTTATGTTCCTTTACGGGAAGACAAATACATGTATCGTTAAATCCCCTGATTAATATTTTTTAGTTAAATTTATATTAGTTAAAAAGCTATTAATCAATAATAAAATGTATAAATTCAACTGATAGTTCAAGAATAAAGGGCATAAATTTAGACTCATACAGTATAAAGATAAATTAAGCAATTTAATGAGAGAAAATTAGACATCTATCTTCATTGTCATGATAATCATCTTAATCGTCTCGATCATTATTGTCGCCAATTGAAGTTTGAAAGCTAGTTGTTTATGTGGAAAGTTTATTTAGGACTAGAGGAGTGTGGTTTACTTTAATTATTTGATCTGCTATGTTTTTATGGAATTTACTTCTTTAAAACTATAAGAAAATTGCTAAACTTACTATTAAAATTGTATGGATATGGATTTTTACTCTTCACTTTTGATTAGTATCCTTTTTTAATATATTTATTTGATTAAAAATGATATTAATTAAGAGTAAGTGATAAAAATCAAGGCTCATGCACTTTTAAGGGGGTATTTGTCAAGATTTCTCAATATTGGTTTACTTAAATTAGACCACTGGTTTACTAAAAAGTAGATCCGTGGGTTACTTCAATGCTTTAATATGTGCTGTGTGGAGAAGCTTTCTTTTTCTCTCTTTAAAACACTGTGCACTCAAAACTGTACCGGTTGTTTACTAAGGGAAATAGATTAAAGTAAGGGTAATGTGAACTTAGCACTTGCAAGTGGTTTTCATCGAAGACAAAGACTAAATGAAAAGTGATGAAAATCAATAGCCTTAGAAACCTGGGTCTTTTATGGTGTTGGGATGCTTTTTTCTGATATTGTGTCGGGAGATACAATAATTTATGAAATTTTATGTTAGAACATGTAAACTCTAATAATAAAGTTGTAAAAGTTACAATAGACTTAAAAATTTTGAAGGAATATGATAACTTGTAAATTTTATGTTAAAATATGCAAACTCGAACAATTCATCATATTCTTTTAAAATTCACAAGCTAATCGTAATTTTTACAAATTTATCGTTCGAGTTTATAAAATTTCACAAATTATCGTATCTCCAGCACGGTACCAGAAAAAAGCATCTTGAACCATAAAAATTCCTACTTCTAAAGTGATAGGTATCCTAATTCTCTTACTGTACATTAATTTTTGAACAATTTTAAATTTATGTTCCTTTATTTTTTTTCCTTTTTAAAATCTTACCGCGGGATATAATTCTGTAAAAGAAAAAAAAAATTAGGAGCAGAAAACTGAAAAGGGAGATAAAAGGAGCGTGTTTCCTTAAATGTTTCTTCACTCAAACACCACACCTCACCAGTTTAGGAGGTGCTTGTAAGTGAGGAAGTATGAGTGATGGAGCTAGAAAATATTTTTTAGTAATGGCAAAAGATGAAGACAAAAGAAATAAGCAAGGTATATGATGGTGATAAATTCTCTATTATTAATTAATTAGCTAGGCTACGTAAGTATTTTGTTGTTAAAGGGCATAATTATAATTTTGACAACTTATCATGGGGCGCAATTAAAGTTTTTTAAAAAATTTAAATTTAATAAATAAGTTTTCACATGGCTCCACGGCTGGTAAAGTACTAGCTTATTTATCAACTTTTATATAGGTATTCTAAAATTTCATGGCTTATTCTATATATTCAATAATTACTTTTTGACATGTCAATTTAATTGTTAGAAATTTTCCTGTGGAATTTTATCGAGTGAGAGTGAAAGACATGTATGTCATTATTATTTTTTTTAAGGCAACGTGTCAAAAAATTTATCTGATATGCAGAAAAGAAAAATGGATGAGTAATTTGGACAGATCTGATTAAGTGGCTGTATACTAGCAGTCACTTGATTAAGCCAGAAAATTTGTTCAGCGGGCTTGAGTTAAATTAAAGTTTTAAACATTTTTTTTTCTAGAGTTTTAAACAAAATTAATAATATGATAAATACTGAAAATATTTCTTTTAACTATTTGTTTCTTTAAATTCTATTAATTTATAAAAATTAATTAATTAGCACATGTTTACAATTCATTGGGGTCATAAGTGGATCAAAGATTAATTAGCACATGTTTTCGTTAATTAACATTTAAAGAGTTAAAAGTCATATGAACTTAAGGCATATTTTAATATGCCGATGAGAGACATAATTTTAATCTTATTAATCCATTGCACACAACAGGAATGATATCTAGATCGTCTTTCACTCCTATGTTACCACCATCAATTGTGATCATATGACTTTATACATCTAATATTGTATAGGAACAAGCATTTGTTATGTTATTACATGTATTTTTAAGATGTTACATGTATTTATAAGAGAAGTCTCATCTGTTTTAACTCTTGTTCAACACCGATAACCGAGGAGGGTAAAAAAAAGTGTCAGATTTTTTATTTTTGACAAAAAAGTTATTGATTTGAGTAATTGTTTCCTGCGATAGTTGGAGTATATATGTTGTTTCAATATGTTAAAAACACCACATATATATACTTAAAAATGACGGGGAACTTTTTGCAGTAGGATGAAACAATACGTTTATTTCTTAAAATATTTTTCCATGAATTGAATAAATTTCATAACTTTCAGTAATTAAAGAGGTTGAAATTTCATTTTGTATATTAATTCATGACATAGAATTGACATAATATTGTTGGATATCTCATGATAATATTGCCCATTTTATTTGAGAATGCCTTCCAGCTTCCAAGCTTTTTTTTTAAAGCCAAAAAAACAAAAAACAAAAACAAAAACAAAAACAAAAACAAAAGAGTACTGTGAAAATATTTTCCTTGCTAATTAATTACGAATTAAGCAAGAAACTATTATAACCAAATTAAATGGACTTAAAAATAGAGTAAGATATCAAGCTAGAGTCCAACAACCAACCACGAATCAACCTTCTTAAAAAAAAAAAATAAATAAAACAAATAAGGGGTCAGAGAGC